TAAAGATGACCGGTAAGGGGATCTTAACCCTTGACTTGGTGTTGTCAGCACCACACTCAGCCAGTGAGCGAACCGGCCATCCATATAATGGGATCCGAACCAGGGGCCTTGGTGTTATCAGCACTGCACTCTCCCGAGTGAGCCACGGGCCGGCCCTGGCTCCTAGTATTTTCTAGCTGTGTTAGCCTAGAAAAAATAATTACTTTTAGCCTCACTTCAATCTTCTGTTAAACGGATTCATCATATCAGCCTTACCCACTTCACCTAGGTTGTTGTATCTAAAGAAATAAGTACGTAAATGTCACTTGAAATTTCTGTAAAAAGGAGGGAAATTGTTGAAATAGGAAAACGATTGCAATTCAGCACCTACCCCACCCAGCCTCCAGCCAATATTTTTCGGAGATGAAAATAACCACTCAGAGATATCCGAAAGAGGAAAAGAAATGGCACTACCCCCCGAGGGATGTATCAGGAAAGTGTGAGCTCAGCGGGTGGGGGGCGCTGAGGGGAAAAGCTAGCTTAGGCATAGTCCAACAACCTGACAACCTTTTTGAAGAATGGAAGGGATAGCTGTATGGGTTGACTGTTCACTCACTTAACATTTATCATGTACTATAAACCAGGTACTATTCAAGTATCTAGGGTTGTCTAAACAAAAACAACAACAACAAAAAGCCTGTTCATGTCATCTGAGTTAACAGCTTAGCGTGCAAGTCATATTGCTAAGACCTTGAGCTCTGTCAAGACTGGCTCAAATGCTGACTCTGACACTTTGTAGCTGTGTAAACTTGGGCAAGTTATTTAATCTCTCTCTGTCTCAGTATCTCATCTGTTAGAGATAATATTAATAATGGGCCGGCCCGTGCTCACTCAGGAGAGTGCGGTGCTGATAACACCGAGGCCACGGGTTTAGATCCCTATATAGGGATGGCCAGTTGGTTCACTGGCTGAGCGTGGTGCTGACAACACCATACCAAGGGTTGAGATCCCCTTACCGGTCATCTTAAAAAAAAAAAGAGAGAGAGAGATAATATTAATAGTACCTTACTCAGGAAATTTTGTGAGGACTAAATGAGATTATGCATATAACGTGTTTAACAAAGTGCCTGTTCAGATCCCCATACCAGCCAGCCGCCAAAAAATCCCCAAAATGCAAAGTGCCTAGCATATAGCAAACTCTTAATAAATGCTAGATATTATTATCGTTATTGAAAACAGAAGCAAGTTGCTATGAGAACAAAAAGGAAGGAGTGATTCATTCAGAGACAGATTTACAGTGGAGGTTTTATTTTAAATTTGAGAGTAAGTTTAATTTATTAAAGAACTGATCCTGGGGGCCGGCCCGTGGCTCACTCGGGAGAGTGTGGTGCTGATAACACCAAGGCCACGGGTTTGGATCCCATATAGGGATGGCCGGTTAGCTCAATGGGCGAGCTTGGTGCTGACAACACCAAGTCAAGGGTTAAGATCCCCTTACTGCTCATCTTTTAAAAAAATAAAATAAATAGAATAAAAATAAAAGAACTGATCCTGAAGTCGCTTATATATGAAACCTAGCTCTACAGATCATGTGATCATAGGAAAAGTATTGAACCTCTGTGAGCCTTATGGTGCTGTATACCTTCATGAGGTTGTGAGGATTAAGCAAGCTAATAAAGCTAAAGGACTTAGCAGAGTGCCTGAAACAATAGAATGTAGCTATTATTAATTGACTAGACAAAAAAAAAGGATGTTTCAGGCAGGTGGAACACAATTATGAAAAAGGACATAAGTGTGAAAATTCATGTCTTCCAGCCTAATGTTGTAGCTAAAGCAACATGTAGATTCCTTTTTGAAGTAATAAGTATCAAGGAACCTTGCAGGTTAATAATGGTAGTTATAGTATCTTTTCATTGTAAAAATAAAGAGTAATAATTTTACTTTTACTCTCACCGAATTGAAAGAAACATGTTACAAAACCAACATAAATTCAGTAATGCTTTTAAATTAATTAACCTGTTTATTAATTGCTATTTAATTATCAAAGCATAATTTTCAAAAAGTTAAAAACATGACTGTCATACAATGTAAAATGAACATGCATCAAAGATTTACTAACTCGGGCGGAGCCCGTGGCGCACTGGGGAGAGTGCAGCGCTGGGAGCGCAGCAGCGCTCCCGCCGCAGGTTCGGATCCTATATAGGGATGACCCGTGCGCTCACAGTGCTCGCTGGCTGAGCGCGGTGCGGCCGGTCTCAAAAAGGACAAAAAAAAAAAAAAAAAGATTTACTAACTCATATTAATGCAGGAACCAACATGATAGGGTGTAAAGTTAGTTTACTCACTAATATAACTTAAATAAATCTAACATGTTCATTGTATATTTGTAAGAGAGTTATGTTTTTTATTCTTTCAAAATTATGCACTGCCAAAAAATATATGTGTATTCGAAAAGTGGTAATTACATGCTTGATATTATTTGTGATAAAACCTGGGAGTGTAGAGTGCCTGGTGTGAAGGTGAAGAGAGTCAGAGTTCTTACTGAACAGTTTGTGCTAAAGCCAGTTCCTACTGGCTCATGAGAACCAGTTGTGTGCATCTCTTCCCAACTCTGTCTTCAGTGTTTGGTGACTTCAGGGTAGTTTAAAATCAGTGAAGATGACAGCATTTACACCACAGAGGCTGATAAACATTACAAACCAGCGCTCCCCACCCCCGCAGACATCAAGTTCTTAAACATTTACCAGCTCATTAGTGTAAGATGAGTTAGAGAAGAGTGAGCTTGTAAATATAAATATATGGACATTATTACATAGGCAATAGCAAACCGTGAAGACTTCTACGATGGATGAATTGGGGAGGATGATCAGATTTTTTATTTAGAAAACTATTTACTGATGATTATGCTCTTGGTACAGAGCATAGAGAAGAGAATGGAGGCAGCAAGGTCATAGAGAAGGTGGCGGTATTATTTCAGGTGAGAGATAAGGCAGTATCAGTAGAGATGGATTAAGTCAAGGATAGGAGTTGAAGGTAATTGAGGTTTCTAGCTTGGATCACACCACTAATTGAGATAAGTAATGTAGCAGTTTTGGAGATAAGATTGTGTTGGATTTGTTGCCTTTAAGGCTTTCTCAGGATATCTGGGTGGAAACTTTGTAAGGTCACAGTAGGGGGAAGAAATTCTCATTTAGGATTCATCAGTATTTAGTAATAGCTGAAGCCAAGAACAAGAATGATCTTGATCAAGGAGTATGTAAGTGGTGAGGTAAGCAAAAAGAAGCCTAAATGAGAAAGGGCTAATAAACAGAAGGAGAGATAGCATTGAAAGAGGACATTTTTTTTTTTTTTTTAAAGATGACCGGTAAGGGGATCTCAACCCTTGGCCTGGTGTTGTCAGCAACACGCTCAGCCAGTGAGCAAACCGGCCATCCCTATATAGGATCCGAACCCGTGGCCTTGGTGTTATTAGCACCGCACCCTACCGAGTGAGCCACGGGCCGGCCTGAAAGAGGACATTTTAAAAGATGAGAGACAAATAGAAATGATGGCTTCTCTGTGATGTATTCTTTATCTGTTTGGAGTAAGAGATATTATCACTTTAACATGAAGTTGGAGAAAATAGAATGATGAAATTTGGACATAATTAACTTTGGGCACTCAATGGACTTTTTTTTTTTTTTTTTGAAAGATGACCGGTAAGGGGATCTTAACCCTTGACTTGGTGTTGTCATCAACACGCTCAGCCAGTGAGCGAACTGGCCATCCCTATATGGGATCCGAACCCGGGGCCTTGTTGTTATCAGCACCGCACTCTACCGAGTGAGCCACGGGCCGGCCCTCAATGGACTTTTTGATACACAGGGATATAAACATCAATAGAATAGAGTGCCTGACTTCAAGGAGTTTGGCATCTAGGAAAGGTAACAGAGGATGATCATTTAATAAGAAGATGATAGTAATAAGCCAGGTACTTGATTTTATCATTTACTCTTCATAATACAATTCTGCAAGGAGGTGTTACTAATATTATTCCATTTTACAGATGAGGAAACTAAGGCACAGAGTGGCAGAGCCAGGATTTGACCCGGGAGTATGAATCCAGAGGCTGCACTATTAACCACTGCCTCTTTGATCTCAATAATAGTACCTACCTCAGAGTTGTAAAGATTAAATTAGTTAATATATGTAAAGTTCTTGGAACAGCTTACCCACGCGCAGTAAGTGTTGAGTAAGTATCAATCATTATCAGCTGCCTCGCCCAAGGCCTCATACACAGCCATTTTATGGCAGAGTTCGGATTCCAATCCAAAAATGCATTCTTTTAACGATTATGCTATGCAGTGTAGGTATTAGCCCTGGATATTACAGGAACACGTAGGAGGGGCACCTAATTACAGGAAGGAGAACGGAGAGGGAGCGTGTCAGAAGTCGAGAAGCCTGTTTTGTTTTCGCGGCTGGCCGATACGGAGATCCGAACCCGTGGCCTTGGCGTTACCAGCACCACGCTCTCCCAAATGAAGAGAAGACTTTTTCAGTTGAGAAAGACACGTAAGCTCGGTCCTGAAGAACAAATAGGCCAGGGGAGAGGGGCGTGTGAATATTAGAAAGCAAGCCGGTTGACTGAACAGCACATATGTAACTCAGGGTGGTTGGCTCCTACAGTCGGATGGGGGAGTGGTGGGGAATGAGGCTGGAGAGACTTCATATCCAATTCCAGGCTGCGTACGGTCTTGCACTTTATTATCCGAGAAATGTTACTGTCTGAAGGATACTGTTTGAAGACACACGCACGCAGCCGGTTTGCTACAGGGGTTATAAAGTAACTCTCAGGTGCGAGTCAATCACGCAGTAAAGAACAAATAAGAAATGGGCGAGAAAGCACTTAGTTTGTCGAATCTCGCCACCAACTAAACAGATTAATGAGGCTTGGAAACAGTGGGTGTTCGCTGACCATCGTTCGCAGTCTCCGACTTCCGGCGTCCTCCGTTGCTAGGGTTACCGGAAGCGTGCCCTAACGCTCCGCCCAGCAAACCATAGAGCGCCGGAAGAAGCCTGAGCAGAAGGGTCGGAAGAGGAACGCTTTGGTGGCTGTGATGTGGTTCGTGCCAAAATGACTACCTTAGTGCTGGATAACGGAGCCTACAACGCCAAAATCGGTTACAGCCATGAAAACGTCTCGTAAGTGTTCGTTTTCTCTGAGGGACAAGACCTTACGCCTAGTAGTTTCACATGCTACGCTTCATCTCGGGACGTCAGAGAATCGTAAACGCCCCCGCGCGGCCCTCACCTTAGCTGCGGGGGTGGTTGTGATGGTTTGAACATTGATTTGGGTTTTAGTTTTTGGCTGCTCAGCTCCAGGAAGTGGGATGTGTTTCATTTTGTAACAGGAAATAGCCGAGAAAATAGGCTTCTAAAGACGCGTTCCTGAGAGAGGGGTGCGTAGACAGAATTCATGAACCTTCAGAAATTGTTCACAACATTTTGGGTGTATATGCATTAACCTGGAAATGCGATTGTAGGTTTCATCAGATCCTCAAAAGATCCCAGGACCCCCCAAAGTCTAAAAGCCACTGTAATTTGAAGGCTTTGGCACACTAGCTGACCTGGTTGATAAGGTCAGTTAAACAGAAATATTACAGTGGCATTCATACGGTGTATATTCATGAGGTCTGTATGTTTGAATAAATAGTAAACTTAAAGTCACGCTTTTCCTCTGTTGAATTCACAGAGGATCTTTTTTTCTTTTTCTGTCTTCCCTCTCTCCGTTTCCTCTTTTTCATTTCTTTTTAAAAGAGGGATATCAAAACTGAGTAGGAATGTAAATTGTTACAGTTTTTCTGGAAAACATTTTGGCAATGTGTATGATCGTTCATACGCTTCGACACAGCAATTCTATTTTTACTTCCTAAGGAATTAAGGTACTTGATAAGAGTAAGTATAAGGATGCTCTGTATTATTCATAGACATTGTGTACGGTGGGTAGCAAAAAAATGGGAAACAAGCTAAATCAAGAATAGCAAATTGCCTAAATACACTGTAATGTGAGGGTACTTCAAAAAGTTCGAAGAAACATTCGTATTATCTTTTAATTCTATTTTTCTGCGAACTTTCTGAAGTACCTTCATACAATCGAGATTGACAGTAAGGCAGCTTCTTAAAATTATGTCCTCAAAGAATATTTAAAGATGTAGAGAAAATGCTGGCAAGTATAGTAAGTGAAATAAGCAGGTTACAAAAGACATCATATATATGTTTGTATGCACATGTGTGTGTGATTGATAATGGTTCTACTTTGTCTTTCTAATCAGATAGTAAGCTCCAGATGGGCAGCAACTGTATTTAAAATTAGTTTCTACTTTTGTACCCAATAGCATCTTGCTGATTGAAAATCTTTGGCTTCAAAGAAACTTAGCTTTACGGCTCGAATTTTGAACTTGTTAATATTTTACCAGAATGATACTAAGAATTTCCACATTAAAGCCAGAAAGGCTAGGACCTTACCAAAGCTTTGGTTCTCATCTGTGTAGTGGCACAACCAATACCTACCTGTAAGGATGTCTTGAGGATTATTTGAGAAAGATAAAGGGTCCAGTATAGAACCTGTTACATCTCAAGCGAATGAGGGGTATTTAAAAAAAAAAAAAAAGCCTGTTACATACTGGAATCTTTATTTTATTTTATTTATTTATTTATTTTTTTTTTTTTTTGTCTTTTTCCGTGTCCGGCAACGGATTGCAACCCTCAGTGTCGCCCCCGTACCGGACCGGGACCGGGAACGGGATTGCAGCCCTCGGTGTTGCTCCCGCACCTCGCTCAGCCAGTGAGCGGGAACCGGTCTGTATGTGGGATCCGAACCCTCGGCGGGAGCGACGCCACGCTTCCCAAGCGGCGCACTATAGCAGTGCGCCACCGGGCCGGCCCTGAAGTTGATTTTCTGCATTAGATTTGTTTGTGGAAAATGTGGCACAAATATGACTAAGGAAAAATAGGATTTAATATTATGATGATGGCAGTCTCAACACTCTGATATATAGTAAACCAAATAGTACTCCAAGTGAGCTAATTATGCTCACTGAACCAGATGGGAAAACATTCCCCAAATTTTGCATTTTAATTTCCAGAATGAAATATCTGACCACAAAACAAAAAGCATAAATACATATAGAAACTTATGTTTGCTTTTTTAAAACTCAGACCCTTGGAGTATGATGACATAAAGTTAGCCAGTGAGACATAGAGATTCCAAAAACCAAAACTGGGCTGAGCGGCAGACACACTTTTTGAACTCTGGGCCTGTGTGAGTGTTCACTCCCTTCCCAGCCATATCCTTTTTTCCACTTTTGAATTGTGAGCTGGGTGGGCCTGCCTCCCTCTCTTCACCTGTGTGTCCTCCAGATGGCAGCATTAAGCAGGAAAGAGAAACACTGGGAAATAATGAGTCTAATGTACAATAAAATTGGAAATTGAATTATAGCTCAAGAAAAAGGACAGTAGCCTTGAGGTCCCGATCAACCTGGACTCTGATCACTTTTGTTTGCTGTACCCATGTGTTAGGTTGCTAGCAAGTTAATAACAGCGCGTGAGCAGTTCAAGGCTCAGTAGAATTGCTTTAGACATGAAATAAAGCTAAAATGAATTTGTGTCCAATATCATTGGCATTAGTGCTCATTACTTTTGTGGTGTAATGCCTCAAACCATCTAAAATCAATTTTAAAGATTACCCATTATTTTATAAAGAAAATAAAACACATTTCCAACAGAAACAGAGCAGTGAGTAAAGTCCTATGAACAGTTACTGTACTATGGTTGGCAGGAAACCACTTACAGAAGGCCACAGGAAATGCTCTGCTCAAACTTCACAGCAAATGCAAGATAATAGTAATGGGTTTTTGCTATGTAACTCTTCTCTTAATTTGAAATATTTAAAACAAGAATAATAAACATTTGTAAATGTAAGGAGTAAATCTTGAAGAGTAGTAAAAGGGATTTACTATTTGGCTACTTGTACTTGGTAAATTAATCTTTATCATGTGACATGGTCATATTCTGGGAAGATCCAGGGCAGAGGACACAGGAGGAGAGGAAGTATTTAGTAGCTTTGCTTGAGATAGTGTTATAAAAGCACGAAGGTTTTAGTTTTCCTTTTAGTAGACCAGTAAAGAATATTTTCTCAAACTACATTTGTAAGCCTATTGAATCAAAAGTGACAGCTAGATTTTGTTTTTCTTTTTTTGTTTGGTGTATGAAGAACCGAACCCTTAACCTTGGTGTTACCAAGCTGCTCACTAACCAACTGAGCTAACTGGCCAGCCCCTTAGATCTTGGTTTTGATACACTGTACATCTTTAGACATTTACCTCCTTGAAAAATGATTGTTTTATTTTGAAGAAAAGGATTTGGTGTTCTACTGACTTTGGATTTTAACTAAGTTGGTATTAATGGCCAAAAGAGATTTGCTTTTCTAATTGCTTGTTTAAACATGCAGAATATAAGGTAAGGTTCTATTGGTCTGAAATACATGATCTGTTTTTCACAGATCTCTACATGAAAAATCTCATGTTAGGCAAAACTGTACTTGGGTTTTAGTGTTCTGGTTTTGTACCCTACGTTTGGTCTTAGTGTCTGCTGTTATATCATTATTGAACTATTTAGAGAGATTGAATTATCATAGTCAAAATCTTTGCTAGTAAGATAAAACCAGTTTTTGTTTAAATATAAGGGTATAATTTGACTTAATTTCCTATTCTAAGCCATGAATTTCAGGAAAAACATCCACTGACAATATGAATCTGAGCATGTGTAAATTTTGCTACAGGATCGTTTTTAATCCTCTGTTTAGTTCTGATGCACTGGTTCAAATCTGTACTATCTTTGTAAACTTTGATCTTGAATGTGGGAAGAGCAGTATGTACTTATCACAAAATTATCATATTTTAATTGTATGTATGGTAAAATTGACTGGGATCATTTTTATTTCGTTGCTTATTTTGACAACAGAGATGCAGTGCCGCTGAAGATTTGGGGGAAATTTCTAGTCAACCTTAAGTATTCAAAAAAAGGTGCCTCTCAAGTGATCTCTATTAAACATGTACTTATGTACATAGCATACTTGTAAAGTTTTAAAATGTGGAACATGCTGAGAAATGTATTGACTTTTTCATGTAATTTTTAATAGTAGTTGAAAGTTTTGATATTTCATGACAGCCTATCTAATAAAGATCACTGAATTGACAGGCTGCTGGCAGTAAATTTTTTTTAAGTAGAATGAATTTCTATGACTATATAAGCAAAATATTTCCATAATTAATCCACATGGTCATAACAGATGGTTAAATTGAAGAAATGTCCTTGAAGTTATTCTTTTAACAGATGTTCTTAACTATGAGCTTCATGTTTTCACTCACCTAAATTTCTAAATAATTGAATAAAAGTTAACATATGCTTTCATCCCTTTAATGGGCAGAGCCCATAATTGATGCAAAGTTTACCATGGTAGAGAAATTACTTTGGAGATACATTTCTTTTTTTCTTTTTTTTTTTTTAAAGATGACCGGTAAGGGGATCTTAACCCTTGACTTGGTGTTGTCAGCACCACGCTCACCCAGTGAGCAAACCGGCCATCCCTATATGGGATCCGAACCCGTGGCCTTGGTGTTATCAGCACCGCACTCTTCCGAGTGAGCCACGGGCCGGCCCCCTTATATGTGTTCTTTGGTTGTGTTAGACCTTTACTGGTTAATATCAGAACTTTGTCTCTGATCTGTGGGTTTTGTGTTTTTTTCTTTCAGTTCTGTGTTGGATTATGCTATTCCCATTGCTTCAACTCTGCACTGGAACTAATTAGTTGTCCTTTGCTTACTTCTAAAATAGGGGAACTGCCTGTGGGGACCAACACTTGAGCCCTGCGGTTGAGCTAAATTACTGCTTTGCTGCTGATTCTCTGGTGAAGGCTTTTTGTGCAGCTTAGGTTTTAATTGTTGACCTTGTAAGCACTTCTGGGTATCGTGAGGTCTGGTACACCTGGGTTGTGTGGAAACTTTAGTCTTGGCCTGAGTCTTTTCAGCAAACTGTACCCCTGCAGTCCTATATTCCTGACCAGTCTCCACTGACTGGTCCTGTGCTGACTGGGGGGCAGATAAGCTATCTATGCTGTGCCCCCATGTTCTGCCAGTGGGCCT